GGTGGGATAATGAAGACAGGCACTGCTCATCCCTATATATATGCATGCAATGAAATATACCATTTTACATGAAATGTTTATCTATATTGATATCGGGATATAATCCCTGTTTTATAAGATTAAATGAACAGCTGTTCTTTATATCTTTATAATCCCAAGAAAATTCACTGACAAATAAATGAAGGAATAAACTAAACAGATAGTTAATACAATTTAATATGGGGAGAAAGCAGAGAACCGAAGATATTTTACTTTTACTTCAACTGGGTCCATCAGGATGGTGGATGTTAACCCTTCTGAAAGGACTGATTTTTTAACCTACATGTATGAATAAAGCACTCTTATAAAAGTGGGTGGGATCAAAATTAACAGAAATCTAGGTTGTGCATGTGTCTGAACTCTTCTCGCCAGTTGACCAGTGTATACATGTTATGAACAGTAATAAATTTGTACACGAAACAATGTCTTAATTAACAAATCTAAAACTGCTAATACACATCTGGACAAATGATGATGATGGCATTGTTAAACTACATTTGGCATTTCTGATATGGTCTGTGAAAATTCTAGGCAATATTAGAAATAATAATCAGAAAAAAACAGTCATATTTCAACCAAGATCTGAAAATTGTGAGTCTACCAGATATAAATTTTTGGTCTAACCATGAAATGTAAACATTTGTATGGCATAAATAAGAAGACAATTCAAAGGGGTAGTCTGTTCAGAAAATATGACATAAAAAATATCCCTTCACTCAGGATTTATAAAGTGTGCTACTTATTATTACTGAAATATTCTAATATTTTAAACTACATTTTGGAAATATCCTCTTGGATTGCCATATTAAATTGCCATATTTCCAACACCAAAATGTCCCTTTCAATAAGTTCACACTCTGCTTGTTTTAGATTAACGCGTGTTTAAAGTGTTAATTTGATTGACAGCTTAGCTAAGCTAATGAAAATCTTGCTTGTGTTGATTTTCTCTCCATCAAACTTATTTCTCTTCATGAAATAGACACAGAAGTAGATTAAACTTCTGTGTAATTGAAGGGTGAATCAAGGGTCATGTGTGTAGCTTTGAGTCCAATGTATAATATGGTACCTAATTGTACCTAATGGTACCTACACACAAAACCAAACCAATAAAACAAACCTGCAAACAAGACAAACTACATACATATTGCAAGAAACAAACAACAAATCAAGTGATTGCACCCGGGGGTCAGCCGTAAGCATCCACTATGCTGTTATATAAAAATTATGTTTTCTAGCAATACATCATGTTATATACTAAGCAGCAAAAGAAACGTCAGTTTGGTATGTTAGTCTGATTAGACGCATTGTGTTCTCCACGATTTTCATGTAACTCATGCTGCACATGCTGTTCATCGGGACCAGCCCTATAAAATGCACCCCCATACCTGGTTGAATCATTCACACTACACTACAGGTTCGGACCATCTACAGGCTTCAGCAATGCTTTCGAGCCACGAACACCACAGATGATCGTCCCTGCCATGTTGTGCGGCAGCACATGCAGAATCACTTCACATAGGCATCTGAGACAGCACGTCAGAGAGTGGGAACACACGGAAGACCCATCAATACCGATACAGTGCGCCGACGTCTCACCAGAGAGAACATCCATTGCCGAAGACCTCACCCCTTGCCATCGACGAGAACGTCTACAGTTTGCCCAACAACACCAGACTTAAACCTGATTGAACATCTTTGGGACAAAATTCAGACCAAACACACCTGATGGATTGTGCCAGGCTTTTCTGAGAATGTGGCTCCAGGTGCCAATGGCGTTCATCAATCGTCTGGTTCACTCCATGTACAGACGCTGCACTGCTTTTATTGACACTTGCGGTGGACACACCAGATTCTGATGTATAGACTGTGTACAGACTCTAAACCTTCTCGTAATGTCTTGGAATTGTGATGAATTAATCACTAATGTGTCAACATACTGTTCACAAAAATTGCTTTGATCCATTTAGTAAGTCGTTTTCTAGAATGATTTCATTAAAGTGCCTCTCTGATTTTGAAATCGTACGGACGTTTTTTTTGGCTGTTTAGTATATAAAAATTATATGTTCTAGCAATACATCATGTTTTTTTCTAGCAATATATCATGTTATATAACACTGATATTTTCTAGCAATATATCATGTTATATAACACTGATATTTTCTAGCAATACATCATGTTATATAACACTGATATTTGCTAGCAATACATGTTATACAACACATCATGTTATTTTCTAGCAATATATCATGTTATATAAAACTGATATTTTCTAGCAAAACATCATGTTATATAAAACTGATATTTTCTAGCAAAACATCATGTTATATAAAACTGATATTTTACAATAGAGTCATCGTCAGTTTTAGATTAATTTCATCCCTATAAAGGAGAGGACATTTAATATATGCTATGTCTATTCTTCCATCCCTGTCATTTTTTAAAAAAAAATTAAACATTGTTTCAACAAAAACATAAATCCCAACAATCGAAACAAAAATGGACATAAAAAGTCAAATGTGAACATTCAAACTATTCATTAAAGTAGTTATAATGTATTTTTAATGTGTTTCTGAATTTCATGACAATTACAGTGTTATCTTTATGTATTATTAATGTGATAGTACACACATTAAATTACTAGTTCTCAGTTTAGCAGCTGCTTTATGGGTTTAAATATGTTTCCTTTAAACATAGATTAGATACATTATGTATATATTTTATGTATCATTAATAACAATGGCAGGGATCATTCCACTTATCCCTACCTTAGGTCATGATATTGTTTAAAAATATTTTTGACAGACACGCCAATTTATTAGCTTAAAGTAGCTAAGTCTCTAACTCAATATCATCCAAAGTCTTCGAAATTAAAAACACAAATTATTTGTCAATTTAAATCAACATTGATGTTGTGATCTCACCGGGAAAAGATGGGGTTCCGATATCCAATATTTAAGACAAAATAAACATTATAAAATTTGACCGCCACCTGTAATGAAACGACTCGATGAAGGAGACTAAGCATATCCCCACAGGAGAATACTACTGGAGTACCATAATGCGTTTCTGTGCCATTTGTAACAAGGGACTCGAAGAATGAGACGCGACGTAGTCCACAAGTCATGTCAAAGGGTGACGCCATAGTTTTATCTGGAGAGCATGCACAATAAATACTATAGGTGTAGACTGGAATAACCAGTCACTAGAGATTGCCATTCGACTGAGACTTCTGCCATATTCTTGCCAAACATAACTAATTTGAAATTAGAGTAAAAATGGAAACAATTGAATGTAAATCAGTTTACAGTAGAATCTGTATGAGCAGCCACTCCTATTGGATCAGCGACATCTCCTTGTAAGCTGTCACGATAAATTCCCCCCCTCCTCCCGTAAAAATTCCATTGTTTCATCTCTTTAATCAACGGTCACTCGTCTAACGCGACCAGCGGTCACTATTTTACTAATAAATTTAACAAAACATTCATAATACATTACCCTATGTGTTGCGAACCATTTGTGTCAATTTCTAGGTCCCAAATATTAGTGATTTTTGACAGTACAGCTGAATCTTTCTTCATGCATTCACACACACCCCCACCCCTCCATTTCTGTAAACATTACTGTAATCAGAGTTACGAAAAACATGTCAGACCATTCCAACCCCACACGGTGTCACAACTTACCAACTCACATACCCAAAGCAATACTGTGATGCATGCAATGCAACCTATTAAAGGAGCTAAATCGCTAATATTTGGGACCTAGAAATTGACAAAAATGGGTCGCAACGCATATAATAATGTAATATGAATGTATATAAACTGATTTACATTCAATTGTTTTGGTTTTTACTGTAATTTCTGATCAGTTATGTTCGGCGAAATACACCAGAAGTCTCATGTGAATGGCAATTTTAGCGTCTGATTTTTCCAGTCTACACCTATGATATTTATAGCGCATGCTCTCAAGATAAGAATATAGCGTCACCATTTTACATGACTTGTGGAATATGTCTAGCCCTGTCCTTTGAGTCCCTTGTTCCAAATGGCGCTGAAACGCATTATGGTACATGATTCGTGTACCAATGGTAAAATGTTTATTTTGTCTTGAATATTGGATATCAGAAGCCCATCTTTTCCCTGTAAGATCACAAGACCAATGTTGATTTGAATTGACAAATAATTCGTTTTTTCAATGTCGAAGATTTTTGATGATATTGAGTTAGAGACTTAGCTACTTAATAAGCATAGGCTGTGTTCTTTTGAGTTTTACCCTTTTATAGGAGCCCTGTAGTTAAAAATGCAAACATTCACGCCAGATAGATAGATAGATAGATGTTTATTGCATCAAAACGTCCATGAAGGACAGCATGCATACATATACACTTAGACATAGTCATATACATTCAATAATACATATTACATAGACAACTCAATACATTCATACAAACAGCTAGTATACTACATGTACAACTGTGCAGGAGGACCGCACTACACGCAAAACAAAAATCTACAAGATAAACCTGCTGCGGACAAGACAGAAAATGACAACCCTCTGAATCATTGGTGTGATGTCTTAATAACTAGTGACAGGTGTTGTGCACTAGGTATATGGTATGTTTACTACCATTAATCTGGGTAAACACTAGTTCAGCTCTGAACGTAGGTCAGACCTACGTTCAGGGCTGAACTTAGCGAACACCTATGGCTTTTAAAGTTTCCTTCCTTTTCTGTAATCAATATGACCTATGCTAGGTTGCCCTGTTGGGATTTCTTCTCCCTAGCTTGCATTCAATAATAAAAAAAGACCTACTTATAATAATAATAACCATCTCTTTTTTATAAAGCAAAAAATTAAACAGGACATGATTTTAAACATTGTAATAGCATGATACTTGAGCTGTATATTAAATGTAGTGTATAATATTTTAAATTAACAACAGTTATGAACATTTTACCTACCATGTGTGGACCATATATTCTGGTCTTTTAAAGACAATTCAACTAAATCTTCGGCTTCGTTTTTAATAGTACTTTCATTACTTTTAGTCTTGTCATTGATCTGTGTAATGCCATGTTTCTTGGAAACGAAAACATGCCACACAGCTACTAACACAAACATAACCGATAACACGCACACGCGCCCGTAACGGGACTTTCTTCTATACATTGCCGAAAGTGCATACCGTACTAGTATAACAATATTTAATTACACGGTGTCCTTAAACATAACATGTAATAATCACTCTGTTATAAGTTACAACACCTGTGCCAGTAATAAAACAGTTCCAACTCAACGTGGAAGATTGTTTGTAAACGGAAATCGCTCCCCATTTCATTCATACATTGGTTCAGTTCATTTTAATGCAAAAGGGGGAATAGTCAACATAAACTGTCATCTGTGATTTTGGTAAAACGGAATACGGCGTCAATTAACACCATATTTAGTATTCAATTAATCAAAGTATTAACATTTATTTTTTCGGTTTATGTTTTATTGTTTGCTTGTATGAAGTACACACTTTTCAATGAAAACTGTATAATTTTTACCACCCCTTTAGCGGGTAAATGCAAGAAGATCATTCGACGTGTATACCATGTACAAAATTGATATAATATGTACTGTAGAATTTATGTATGATTATTTTTAGATAAAGTAGCCTACATAGACAATTCTATGTTTTAAGTTATGAGATTTAAATCATAAACAAATGAAGTAAAATTTTGGTTTACATATAATTAAATTAATACTTCTTATTGTAATGCAGTTTCATAAAACAGCCCCCTCCCGCGCTAATTTGACATTTATTATTATATTGCATTCATCATTTCTGTATAAGTTGCAATTCTTCATTTATTTACTATACATCTTTAGGATTTATGTTTCAACAATTCTGGACAGTTGGAACAGATTTTATTTTTTCAGATTTGGGCGCGAGCCGGGATTGGGGGGGGGGGGGCTGATTTTAATGGAAGTCTAAAAAACACAAAAAAACTCGGGACGAGGTTCGATCATTTCAAAAAGACTAAAATGTAGCCTAATTATAATTTTAACTTCATTTTTTTGTTGCCTCACTACGCTCGATTGTCATTTATACATTTAAACATTAAATCCATCTATATCATATCAACTTTATAACTTTCTTTTATATAGTTCCACATTTTATTATGCAAATTTAGTACTGCTTTCCACCTATGAAAATGATTATAGTAAGAAATTCTATTGAATTGAATAGTAGTTATATCTAATTTCATCTACATAATTAGTATTATTGTATCTTACGTTTAATAATTTTTCTCATGGCGAAGTCATCAATCAAGGGGGCGAGGCTCGACCAGCTTAGAATTTTAGTTGCAATCCATATAAGGGATACGAGCTCTATAGTCTACCCACTATATACACGCGACATTGCTACAGTCAGTATTTACCCCCCCCCCCCCCCCGCTTCATTGTTTGTTGTGCCCTTTCGAAGAAAGTAGAATGGAATGTCCGCCCACTACAGTTTTTTTGACAAAATAAATTTGCTTTTGATTCAACTACAATGTTCAACCTCGGTGAATACCTTGACTGAGTTCCATGATGAGCATTTTCAGATGAGGGTAAACAGAGATTGGCATTTTTTGGCAATTTGATTGGTTGACGCTTTCGGACATGGTAACCTGGTGACTTGGTGCACAGTTTCATTACATCATTACCTGGATTAAGTTTGATAGAGAGCATTTGACTGGGCTAGACTTTGGGGCACTATACTTGATTCTAATTGAATGAGAGTCGTGAAACGTACATCAAAAATGACAAAGTTTGATGATGAGCATTTTCTGCTTAGGCTAAGTAAAGAAGAAATTTGATTGGCTGGCTAAGACTTTGGAACCCAATAACTGGTTTATTTGGGGTAGAATGTTCAAACTTGGAGATGCTCATTAGGAGATAAGCAGAGATAAGCAATTTGACTGATCGATGCTTTCGGACACAATAAGTTTTATTCTAATTGAGTGAGAGTGATGAAACTTTGTGTATTGGTTCCACTACATCAAAACCTTGACTAAGTTCGATCATGAGCATTTAATGCTTAGGCTAAGTAAAAATACGTAGTTTGGTTGCTTGGTGCTTATTAATTTTCGATTTGGGCGTATCAAAAAATGGATAGCAACATGCAGAGATTAAAAATGAATATGGCTATTAAAATAGTTAATAATAACCATGCCATAAATATATAATAAATTCAATTTAATAGTTTAGGCACTATTATCACAATAAAATGATGATTGTTTTATGAAAAAAAATCTGACATCTGTGTCTCATTAAAGATACGTTATGTAGGATTTTGATAAAGAGCAGACCATTTTTGTCATAATAGCTCAAAAATAGATAGTGTAAAATGAAAATATTCAAATTATTCTTGCTATAATAGCTCAAAAATAGGTGTAAAATGAAAATGGCATTCAAATTACTTCATTTTGAGCCAAATTATCACTGTTTGTAGTTTTGACAAGATGTGTGCATTGTGGTAACCGATATTTGAGACTTAGCCTCATTTTCCCATTTTTAAATTAAATTTTTAAATGGCGAACCTTTCTAATCTAGTTAAAATTCTGAGTATCTGATGCCATCGAGAGTTGATTATGGTCTGGTATTGTTAATAAATTTCTAATTAATAGTTTATATAACATTTCAGGCCTAAAGAAAGACCTGCAAATAGGAAGATTTAGATCTTGCATAATGTATATTTAATATTTTTTATCAATAATGTTTAAACATACGTTATTCAAGAGCTAAATCTGCCTATTGCAGGTCTTTCTTTAGGACATAAATGTTATAGAAATTATTAATTAGAAATTTATTAACAATACCAGACCATTTTAAGTAGACTAGAATGGTTTGGCCATTTAATGATTTAATTTAAAAATGGAGAAGCAAGGTTAAGTCTTGAATATACCTGTACCATGGTTACGATAATAAACAATTGGCTCAGAATAAAATAATTTGAATGAAATTTTAAATATATTCATTTAGCATTACCTAGTTGTGAACTATTATAGCAATATGTTCATTTTTCATTATCTATTTTTGAACTATTATAGCTGGAACAGCCAGCGCTTTATCTAAATCTTACATAATGTATCTTAAGGCCTTACTTTTAATGAGTATATTTGAATAACCAATGACTTTCATGTTCTGTTATTAGTTTATGAATAAAATGAAGTGGGGTTTACCATCATACTTTTCTACATCAATGGGGGTAATAAAGATGGACAGTGTTCCATGAGGTTAATTCCATTTTGTTAAGGATTCTTTTATGTGCATGCCAACATGTATAATGGTACCTTGGTTTTTTGTCCCATCTGAAATACTAGGCACTGATTCTTTTCGGGCCCTGCAGAATTTTGATGTGGTTCCTATTTATGTCCAAATGAACAATCCTAATAGGTTTTGAAAACATCCTTGAAGAACTTTGACCACTATTACACTCAAAAGATTATACATATAAAATTTAAAAATGGAGAAGACAACTTGGAAATTTATGACACAATAGTTAGTATTTCTGAGGTTTCTCCTTATGCCCAAACAAACAGCACCCCCAAATGTTAAAAACTTCCATAGAGACCCAATGGAACAATCTTCTGGCATATTTGAATTTATACTTGAACATCATGCAGAAGGAAGGGTTAGTCCAGAAAGTAGATGGTGTTTCTCATTAAGATTAAGGACAAATTGTGGCATAGTTCAATGAAATGTCATTTAATTTCTTTACTACTTCGTGGTTTGCTTGAAATAAGTTAGATATTGACTACCAATTGAAGGAAATCAAAAGCTATGTATGCTTTTATTGATCAAATCTTTATCTATAGGTCAGGAATAATATTTTACATACAATATTGTCAATTTCAGTGTAGTCCTGTTTATATACATATGACATAAAATCAAACAATTATATTAAATATGATATATTCCCATTATTTGACATATACAGGTATATATAATACACAACATTACACACATATTATTTACATCTATTTAATTTAAACACAAACTGAAAAATATTAACCCTTGAGGGTCTACAAGTGGTATTTGGGGATCCCACGACCATATCCTTAACATTTGTGAGGAACTGGTTCATAATTGTCTAGCGAGAATTTTATACATTTTCAGCTACTTAATGTCAAGTATAATGCTGTAAATAGAATGGAAGTAAGGCAGTAGCAATACTCATCATTTGACAAGAAACTATCAGTATTACATTATCGACACAACATTTTGCTGGTTACAAATGTCTAATCTGTTCTACGCTCGATGCTAGCTTTGTATTTGGAATCTAGATCTGAAAGCAAATCTAGGTATTCTACCAACCCCATCAAAATACAATTCTACATGGAAATGACAATTAAGTTAATATGTAGATTTGTATGATTTCAAAAATACCTTATAATTCATATCATCACTGTTAATACCTCAAATATTTTATTTTTTACTCTTGATTGATTATTATTCAGTCTTTATATCAAGATGTAGTTTGATCGTATTTGAATAAAATTATGCATCCAAAAAACAATTTATGTCTGGGGTCTTAGATTATGTCTGTTTTTTGTGTGACATGTCCACACAAGGGTTAAAATATGTGTATTAATAAGATATGTTCAAAACATATGCACTACAACACCTAACTCGAGTGAGCAGTCCACAATGTTTTTTGCAGATTTCATTTATTCTTTTGTAAATACCAGTAACAGGAGCATTTACAAGACTACATGACATTAAAAACTGATCAAGAGTAAAAACCCTGAAGTAATTATCAGAAATAATTAAAATTTGATTGGTTTCTAGTTCTTCCTAGTGCTAACATTTATTATAGGTACTGGTAATCAGATGCTGCTGAAATTTTGGTAAATCATTTAAAATCAATACGGTTCTTTGGCTCATGAACATAAACATATATGGTTGATGCCAGACTGCTGGACGATTGGGGGTAATAACAACATGCGACGGATGGGCCGACGACCATATATGACCACATTCCAAAGGGGGAGTACAAAAATCAAAATTTCTATAATACATAATTACAACAGTCACCGATTTCATGTGGTTATTTCCATTAAAAGCATGGCAAATTTGGTACATATGGAAAGTGGAGACACCCAATCGTTCTAGAAAAATACTGGATTCCTTGAAAAACACACATGGAGTGAGCACGGGAGAAAAATGAGAGGGTGTCACTAATTGACAGCCCGACGATTAAGGGCTGTCTACTCGAGTGACGTCTGACCTCTTTGTGTTAGAGAGTGCTTGATGTATATGTTGATAAACTTGATGGTGAGCAGACGTGGAAAGAGTGGGAGACTTAAATGTACAAAAATTTCTGAGATAAAAACTGCAGAAAAAGATGTGGGCACAGGATAATCTGAGAATGGATTCTCCCCCGGCACGCCACTCGAGGCTACCAAGTCACGTGACACAAACATGACTTCTTTTTATAGATTTTTTTAAGCAGCTTGGGCTTGGAGTATTTCCTTGTGAATGCATTGTTTTGAGATGGATTTGAAGCAAATTCTTGATAGATTAGTTTGAATATGTTTTTAGTCCAAATATATCATCATGAACTGAAACCTACTGCATAAATTTCCATTTTGTTTCATGATTAATTTAATGATTGCAATCATTATACTGATAATATCAACATTAAGAAGAGATAGTGTCTTTTTTGGCTACGGATGTTGGTAGATACCTATTTGCAACAGCAGGTTTTGAATTTTTGTTCAAAATTTGCATTTTCATGCATGTTATTATTTCCAAATTGAACAAATATCTACTAATGATGTACATATTGCCTTCAAACCTAACCTCTGCTGGAGATAAGCTGATTACTGTTAAGTAAAAATATGATATTCATTTAAAGTTATTTTGTTAAAAATGCAGCCATTGGATCTTCTGTCCTTCGTTTTTTCATTAAGAAGGCCTCTTTTTGTTCTTCAGTGGGTTCAGATGCTTCATACATACTATTATATGGTCTTTTTCTTTCATCTATAGCCATTAATTTATCAATACTACGATTGTGTTCCTCTTCTCTTCTCAGAGCCTAAAATGAGAAAAGTCAAAATATCAATTTGGTAGAAAAAGATTATAAACAGGAGTTTCTGTTAGGTGTTCTCTGGGTTGTGTTAGTCAAGTGTTTAGGGCAATAATGTTCTGTGTTCAAATCCTGGTCTTCAAATGTATCAGGGGTCTCTGACATGGAAAATATGCCTACTCATCAGTGTGCACATAAAAGAACCCTTAACAGATAGAAATTAAAGAAGATTTTCAGTCGAAAAACGTATTCCTCTCAAATTTTGTAAATTGGTTATATTATATAGTGAAATTTTGGAGGGTTGAGGCAAACATTCCTTTTACAAAACATCAGAACATAGACAACATAAATATGTACTTTTGAGTGTAATAATTATTTGACCATAAGCATGTAGACAGCTTTCAATATTTGGGGCCTAATTTAAAACAGATTAATGAATACACAATTCTTTTTCAAAAACTTGGTATTAGCTTATAGAAACATGCATTGGGAATTTCAATAACTTAAGGTTGGCCTGTGCATTTTCCCCATAAACACTGATTAGTCCAATTCGGTTTGTTACATAATTCCCATCCGTTAGCTTTTCGGGTAGAAATCGTGGAATAAGGTATTAGGGGCACAGATTCCATTTCTGCCAGTTAAAACTGTGTAAAATGATCACAAGTTAACATATTTTGCATATTTCCAAGATGGCGGCAAAATGGGATAATGTTCTGATATTGATTAAGTAGTCGTCTATGGTATCAGGATATATGTTTTCGAGGCGCAGATTCCATTTCTGCCATTTACAATTGTGTAAAAGGATCACATGTTCACATATTTTGCATATTTCCAAGATGGCGGCAAAATGGGATGATGTGCTGATATTGATTAAGTAGTCGTCTATGGTATCAGGATATATGTTTTTGGGGCGCAGATTCCATTTTTGCCATTTACAATTGTGTAAAATGATCACATGTTTACATATTTAGAATATTTCTAATATGGCTGCCATTTGAGGTGGGGAAAATGGGACGATGTGCTGATTTTGATAAAGTAGTCAGGTTCAATTTCTGCCGTTTACAACTGTGTGAAATGATGGTATATTCACCCAATCTGAGTATTTTTTCAAAATGGCTGCCGTTTGTGGCAGGACGTTTTCTAAACACATTATTGAAAAGTTTTCTGAATCCAATTCTGCTATGAATAAGCTTGTAACATGTTCCTGGAAGCCAGTGCCGTGTTTTACTCAATACATATATTATCCAACAATGAACATGACTTCTATTTAACAGGAATAGCTCTTGTGTATAATAAGATTCTCAGTAAAATAAAATAACTTTTGACAGTAATATTTCTGTGTATAATACAATTCTCAGTAAAATAATATGAGTTATACTTATAGCACATGTATATAAGATTCTCAGTAAAATACCATGATTCCTAACCGAGTTATAGCACATTTGTATAAGATTCTCAGTAAAATAATGTGGATTCTAACAGAGTTATAGCACATTTGTATAAGATTCTCAGTAAAATAATATGATTCCTAACAAAGATACTAAGATTCTTAGTAAAACAAGCGGTTGCTGTGCAAGATATGCCCACATTTTGCAAAAGATGGACAGAGAACAAGCTAAAAAGTACGCTATATGCGGCCATAGGCCAGGATGTTACAATCCGACATGAGTCAATATCAAAAGGAACCAAGATCTTTGGAATATAAACAGACATTTAAAGTTTTATCAAAATCAGATAAAAATTGTGACCTCCAGAGTGTCCACAGGTTAAAAGCATGATTTTTCAGGGACCATAATCCATGAAGTTATGGTCAGATACATGTCAATATCAAAAGGAATCGAGATCTTTGGGATATTGAACTCTAATTTAAGTTTCGTCAAAATTGGATCAAATTGTGACCTGTAGAGTGTCCACAAACAAAATGTGGAAGTTCGAAATGGACAGGGGCGACAACAATATACGTCAATATGAAAATGTAGACATATAAAATCTTGATCCCTAACAGTTTGATAAAACATGTGAATACATGATTCTCAATTAGTCAATGTTTAAAATTGAATGGAATGCATGACTAGGAGAAAAAACTGGTTTAAATAATAGATTAATTTAAATTACAAACCTCCTTCAGTTTTTCTTCGTTATCATCCGAGTCACTATCACTGCTATTATCACTATCACTCTTATTTTTATTTTTCTTCTTCCTTTTCTTTTTATCTTTCTTCTTCTTCTTTTTTCGCTTTTTTTCTAATTCATCATGATGTAACTATAAAAGTAATGATAACATGTTAAATCATGTTCTCATGCTACAATTGGCAGTGTAATGGTTTCACACCATTCACAGAACTATAGGCCCTCAACAAACTGGATTCAAAATAAACTTCTAATAAGTGTACAGTTTATGGATTTGTGAATGAATCTGTTGATTAATGATACACCAGTCTCAAAATTCATTTCAATCTACCAGAATTGAATTACATATACTAATGAAATAAAATGAATTGGGGTTTAACGTCCTACTGTTCTGCTCCAAACTGGGCTAATGAAGTGTGCTATGAGGGAAATTTAGCCGTCCTACTCTTATATCAAATTCCAACTGTCAAGGGATCTTTTACGTGCATGCCAATGTGTACACAGGTCCCCTGGTTTTCACCCCATCCAAAAGACTAGACAGCTGTCCTTGTTAGGCCCTCCGCCCTGCATCACTGACAAGGGGGAACCATGCCAGAAAATCTGGATAAACTTTCTCGATCGAACACCCGACCTCCAGGCTAGCGAGCCAGCGTCTTACCCACTTAGCCATCGTGACACCCCATGTACTAATGAATAATTAATGAGATACACTTACTTCCATCAAAGATTTGGGAACTTCTTCTTCAGCATATTCTTTTTCTTGTTGAAGTAACAATTCTTTACTTGACTACAATAATATCAATAACTATAATGACCAATGACTCTTACACCAAAATATATTGTTTTGATTATTGATAATGTTACTGAAAATATGCAACCAGTTTAGCTAATGACTACATAAATTGGTCTAATAACACCTTTACTGAGAAACCAGCAGCTGCCAGGCAGATATGCCCACATGGATAGAGAACATGCCAAACAAAAAGAGATTTTTCGTACAATCAAGGGCCATAATTTAGGAAGTTACGATCCGATATGCACGAATATCGACAGGAACCAAGATCTTTGGGTTATAAAGCTATATTTCTAAACATGAATTTCAAGTTTCTTCAAAATCGGATCAAAATTGTGAGTTCTAGATGGTCCACAACCTTGATATACCATATATTTACACTATTTGCATATAAGGTGCTGCCATTTGTCCAGCAGTTTTGGTCCCATTTTCACGAAATCGAACTCGGCCGTTATTAGGGTGTAACAGTGATATATTCAAAGGTTTTTTTTCAATCGGATAAAAATTGTGATCTCTAAGAGGAATCACAAGCTAAAAACGCGATTCAGGAAGTTACCATATATGCACGAATATCAAAAAGAACCAAGATTTTTGTGATATAAAGTTATATTTGAAGTTTCATCAAAATTGGATCTAAATTGTGTCCTCTAGAGGGTCCACAACCTTGATATACCATATATTTACACTATTTGCGTACGAGGGGCGGCCATTTTGTACGGCAGCTTTGGTCCGATTATCACGAAATTCGAACTCAACCATCATTAGGGTATAACAGTGATATATTCAAAGGTTTTTTTTAAATCAGATAAAAATTGTGACCTCTAGAGGGACCACAAGCCAAAAACATGATTTTTCGTATAATCAAGGGCCATAATTCAGGAAGTTACAATCTGATATACGCAAATATCGAAAGGAACCAAGATCTTTGAGTTATAAACATGAATTTCAGGTTTCATCAAAATCGGATCAAAATTGTGGCCTATAGAGCGTCCACAATATTGATATACCATATACATTTAACACAATTTGCGTATCATTTACACAATTTGGGTTACGAGGGGTGGCCATTTTGTCCAGCAGTTTTTGTCCGATTTTCACGAAATTCGAACTCAGCCATCATTATGGTGTAACGGTGAAATATTCGAACGTTTTTTTTTAAATCGGATAAGGGACCACAAGCTAAAAACATGATTTTTCGTACAATCAAGGGCCATAATTCAGGAAGTTACGATCTGATATGAAAATGTTGGCGTATAAAAAGCAATTGGTTTAGTAACATACCGGTACTATAATATTTGTTGGAATAATATATAAAGTTTACATAAATTTGAATTTTAGCTCAAGATCAGTATTTTTATAATATGCATGTGGTTTATAAAGAAAGTAATATTTAGAAATTGTACTTACTAATGCTGCCTGTTTTCCCGATTCACCCGTACAATATGATTCTTTAACAAGAGAATGACAACAACTAAAACCCCATTGACCTCGAAACCAATATGATCCCCATACACTCTGTTCAAATAAAAAACAACAAAATAGTTAATTTACTGTCTTCAGCCTCTTGATATAATATCATTAAAGTGGAACAGTTTTTGCTACAATAGTTAAAAAAAAATAAAAAAAAAAGATGATGAAAAATGAATATATTGAAAATTTCATTCAAATTACTTTATTCTAAGTGAAGTTATGAGTGTTTGAAGTTTTGACAAGATGTAGCATGGATTGTTTATTATCTTAGCAACGGTATTTTACAATTGTTAAATTTTAAAATATCACGGGAATTATAATCCATTTAAATAGTGGCCATTCGATGTTCTAGAGAGTTGATTATAGGCTTGTTATGTGAATAGATGTCTAAATAATAGTTTGTATCACATTTAAAGCCAAAATAAAGACCTGCAATACAAAGATTTACCTTTTACATAATGCATCTTTTAACAATATTTTATTCATTTCAAAAGGACGGAACAACTAGCAAAGCTGCAAAAGCCTACAAAAGTTCTTTCTTTAAGGCTACAATATACTACTAAAATAATTAAACATCATGCTTTAAAACTGATTTGAAATGTTGTAGTTTTTCTGATTAGGATTCCAAGACGGCTAAGAATAAAGTAAAATTTTGGGACTAATAAATGGTTCAATTTCATATTCACTTACCCAAAGGGGTCTTAAGCAGTGGGGAGAAACCAGGTAAACTGGAGAAAACAAACGAGGTTAGGCAGGCGCGCTACTCCTCATTATGTACAAACTTGGGATCAAAACCACACCACGTGACTCAATGACAGACACTTAAACACACATATTAGACCACACAACCCTCATGTTAACACAAGAGACAAAATAATATAGTACTAACTGTATGATTATTAAGATAAATATCTTCTTCATAGCGAGATTTAACTGCTGCTTTCTCCTGGCCTTTTATTACAGCACCATGTCTAGAATATTCTACATAATCTTCCTGTAATATAAAGATAGGTTGCCAGGTAAGGAAACATATGCCCACGGCAGCTAATTCATCGAGGCAGTTAATAAGGGTTGTCTCATATTTTGTCTTTTGTCAGTAACGAAAACATTTAGAACATACTAAAATCTGATTACAAGTAACAACACATTAATAGTTGGGTAAAGATAAGGCATATGGAGTGGTTACCTAGAACAAATTGCAACAGAAATTCTCTCGACGGAATATTTTAGACCCATGCATCTTTTCTTACTACATATTTTAATAGCCTTGTAATCGTCTAGTATTTTCACTTGTCGTCTTTGGTTCCCCCTTCATGTTGTGTATTCTCTTCTTCTTATCTAAATAGTTAAGACGTTTTTGTCTTCTCAGTAGTTAAGACGTTTGTCTTACAAGGAATAACAATGCAACAGTTCGTTTTTACATTTTATATATCATAGCTGGATACATATACTCAAAGCCATTAAAAACGCAATGCCTAATTCGTGAAATATTTCTGGTAAACGTTATCTTGGGCTTTCCTATCTTATGGCACATAGGTGTGGCCCTTTAAATTTAAATACAAACAAAATTTCAACATTCATCTCTTCGGAAAAATGTCACGCCTTACACAAGAAAACAGGAACAGAGCTATTGGCATGCAGGATCAGGTGGCTCCACAGGTAGCCGTCGCCAGACACTTTAATGTCCACCCATCGACCATTGCTCGCCTCAGACAACGCTTCCAAGCCACTGAAAGAGTTGCTGATCGACCCCGACCTGGAGCGCCACCTGTAACAACCGCTGCTCAAGATCGCCACATCCGACTACAGCATCTGCGCAACAGGTACTGCCAGGGTAACTGTTGGAACACAGCAACGTCAGATCAGCCCTCAAACAGTCTGAAGGTGCCTGGCTGCTCTTGGGTTAGGCTGCCGTCAACCTTACCAAGATCAAATCCTTTTGCATCGTCATCGACTTGCCAGACACCAATGAGTCGCAAATCAGGGGTATCTGTACAACACACCATGGCGAAATGTCATCTTCTCGGATGAATCCCGATTCAACCTCAGTTTTCCTGATAGACGTCACCGTATCTACCGACGTCGACATGAACACTTTGCTCATAACCCAATTGAACACCTTAGGGATGAACTTGGACGACAGGTTCGAACTCAAGTCGTGCCACCATGAACTGTTGCAGAGTTGGCACAGACACTCCAAAATCATTGGCAAACAATCCCACAGCTGTAGTGAGACATCTGTGCCGGTCCGTGCCAAGGTGACTTCAGGCATGTGTAAGAGCTCAGGGTGGACATACCCGATATTGACTTCAGCTGACCCCTGCTTTGTTTCATAGTTCTCTGACGTTTCAGTTTTGGACATTTGTAGTGAATTCTTTCATGAAATTATCCACAGATGCTTGTTATCTCGATTTTGTCAATTGTTATGTACATTTGTTAAAAGTTGTTGCAGTAAATAAACTTTGAATTTGGCAATGCGTTTTTAATGGCTTTGAGTGTAGATACAAGCATAGTAGTTTACAATACTAAAGTCATTCTCTCAAACCCCCTACAAATAAAAAGATAGGTTTTCGAGTAATTAGCATAAATCCAATATGGCCGTCACTAGCACCTTAAAACTCCAATATCTCGGGAATGGTTGAGTTTGGAGGGCGTAAATGTATTACGGGTAGATAGGAAAGTGGTACAGATGGCTCAGATAAACATAGCTAACAATTAGCTAACAATAATCCTGTGACTCCTTTCCACTGAGAGCTAATTTTTAGGAAACTATGCATGCAGATCTATATTAGTAGATGGTCATTGGTACCTTTTAATATACGGGGGCCATTCTAAGACTCCTGCTTTCTATTTATTCAGACACTGTTTCGTCACCAAATGGAGAACTTGGAGTGGGTGTTCTCACTAGCCACATCGGATTAGAGGCTGGGACTAGGCAGTGCTGGTCATTCATAGGAAGACATGATTCAAAGTCCATAGAAAGACCATATAGCATTTCAGAAGTTAGGTCTTAGTTTTAGGCACGTCAAACTCAGTTTCCTGTATTTCTTGGAACAATAGAATGCTAAATAGTTTTACCAATTTACAGAGTAAAGAATGAGAAGATAGCGAGTTGCGGGCCTTTTGACATCATAAAGAACGTGTCACAAGGATAGTTCTAGCCTTCCATCATAATGGTTGGTCGAAAGTGTGCAACCATGACAATTACATTCATCAGTAATGAATGTTAGGGTTGAGTAAACATAGCTAAGGTTGGCTGGATCCATGTCTATTATTAGAAACCCTCGCATAGTGGCTTTTTTTCGGAGATGGTCTCCAGTCGCAACAGCCTGCATAGTGCCTGACAGACAAGAGTGGTGTATCTGGCTTCAACGGCTATGAAAAGAGCCAAGAAAGGCAGTTTGTAAAGGTTTTAACAGGAATATTTTACTTGGTTTCTGATAGACCAGGATTTCAAATATGGACTGTACAATAAAACTCTTCTACTAACAATTCTTCTTTATTGAGGATTTCAGGGTCTGTAGTATCAAGTATGCAATTGGTTCAGGTTCATGCGAATCATTGACTATGAATTTCAATCTTTAAGTTGGCGTCGTTGAATTGGTTAACAAATTTGGCGGGTCTAGTTCTGGAGCTTCTACATCAAGTCCATGTGTCTCCGGAATATCTGTCAGTTGTTAGTTAGGCTTGGGATGCTGTGTTAATTTCAAATAAGAGGTACAGAAGCCGTGTGCATTCAAAGTACTGATCCGAAGTCCTGACCCATAAATATGATGTAGCTGTATTGCGAACAGTAAATGAAAAAAGTTGAAGTTGCTTGGGGTCTTGACGCTTTTACCAAACATAACCTGAGAGATGTATTCTTCAGCTCATCACGCACGACCAGCTCTTGTAAAAAAAAGTGTAAACAAATTTGATGCAAAATTTGTCATTCCACTCAAAAAATTTATTGTTTCTGGTCCAGGTAATAATTGATGGATTTTGTTTAATAATCTTGCTGCAGATTAGTGTGGCTGCTGTTTTGATAAATCACTTCTGGTCGAATTCCAAATCACGCTTTCGTGAATTATCATAACATTCTCGAAAAATTGTTCCGGTTTTTTGTTTGATATTACGTCCTTTCACATTGTCTGCCCATAATATATTTGCATGCTCCAAACTCAACCATTGCCAAGATATTAGAGTTTTAAGGTTTCTAAAGGCGGCCATATTGGATTTATGATTGGACTATTGCATTATGACGGCACATGGACATAATTTGGCAATGTTTTTCTGATTCTTTGGTAGCACTTTCCTATCTACCCGCAATACCTTTACACCCTCTGAACTCAACCATTCCTGATGTATTGCAGTTTTAAGGTTCCAATGGTAGCCATATTGGATTTATGCCAATTGTTGGACGTATGACATTATGATGTCACAGGGACGTCATGGGTTTTGCATTTCTGGATTCTTTGGTACCACTTTTATATCTATCCCTAATACATTTACATTGTACAACCTATAACTCAATCATTCCCGAAATATGGAGTTTTAAGGTGCTAATGGTGGCCATATTGGATTTATGCTAATTACTCGAAAACTTAACATTTTATTTTGGATATATGCTAATTGTTGGCCGTAGAACTTATGACGTCAAAAGGAGGTCAACTGGCATTGTTTTTCTAATTGTTTGGTAGCACTTTCCTATCTTCTCGTAATACATTTACATTCTCCAAACTCAACCATTCCCGAGATATCGGAGTTTTAAGTTTCAATAGCAGTAAAATTGGAATTATGGTAATTGTTGGCCGTATGACGTCATTTAGCTACCTTTTCTGAGTCATCTGTACCACTTTCCTATCTATCTGTAATACATTTACACCCTCCAAACAACCATTCCAGAGATATTGGTAGGGTGACCCACCATAAATAAATATCTCCATATATCTCGACAATTTCGCCACAATATTTATATATATGCCAAGCCTCAAATCAGTTTCACACAATTATAGTCACTAAATAAACGATCATGTTGTACTTAATAAGCTATGACCATTAATCATCTATAAATAATAGACTGAAAACTGGTTCCATGTGTCGTCCATAACATCCAGACACTCTTGAGTAAAAAATAGGTTACGTGCCCTTGTTTTGAAATTAGTCTCGCTTAACCAGTCTATCGACCATTCAAGGGCTGATTGACAGGTCGGGATAATCAAGACTACTTTTTTACGAAACATAACAGAAAGCTAGAACAAGAAATTGAATTTAGAAATGAGCACGTTAGCTAGCTCAACAATTGTTTTAAGAAGCTTGTAAAAGTAAAATGAAACTACTGCTAGTATCATGTTCCTGTCTAACCCGAGTGCTTCAGAGATATTATTTGTACTAAACCAAAAGATGCTGCTCTGAACGGTACAGTTAATGATAAAGCGATTTAAAAAATGAAACGAACGTAATTTCTAAATCTGCTGTAATAACCAAGAAGCTTAATTTTACTGCTATTCAAAATCGTCAACAATAAATTTTTTACGGCTGTAATAGTTGATAGATTTGTAGAGAATTGCACGTGCCATGGCTATTTATAGTATCATACTGTCAGAAAGTTGGCCTCGACACGGCGAATGTCCACGCTTCAGTGGTAGTCTCGAACTATCAGCGGTTGACTGTATTTCTGTAGGTGCATGGGCCACAATAATATTGGCGATTTTTGTTTAGGAGACATTCAGGTACCCCTCTACCAGATTCCGCTGAGAAAAATTCTGTTGCAATTTGTTCTAGGTCATTTATTATATTTATTATAAGATAAGTAATTATCAGAAATCATAAGAATTTGTTCGATTGTTTGTCTCATGAACTTAAACACTGTGTATAAATTTATACTAACTTTAGCCTCTAGTGCGTCCACAAGATTTCTCAATTGATTAATGGCCATAACTCTGACAGTACTTATCTGACATTGTTGAAAATCAATAGGTTTCTTCGTCTCTAAATCGTAAAAACTGTGTATAAATTTAAAGTCTATCAGTATCAGTTAGTAAGTAACTTTACCCTGTAGAGTATCCACAAGATTTTTCAAAGTGATCAAGGACAATAACTTTGGCAGTAATCATTGGAAATTGTTGAAAATCAATATGCTTCTTCGTCTAATGACCGTAAACACTGTGTATAAATTTAAAGTCCATTGGATAGTAACTTAAGCCTCTAGAGCATCCACAAGACTTTTCAAAGTGATCAAGGGCCATAGCTCTGGCAGTAATTATCGGAAATTGTTGAAAATAAACAGGCTTCCTCGTCTCATTACCGTTAACACTGTGTATAAATTTAAATTCAATCGGATATTAACTTTAGCGTCCAGAGTGTCCAATAGGCTTTTTCAGCTCATGACTCTAAACACTGTGTATAAATTTAAAGTTTATTAAATAGTAACTTTAGCCTCTGAAGTGAAATGAAATGAAATGGGGTTTAACGTCCTACTCTTCTGCACCTAACCTGGGCTAATTGAAGACGGGCTTACGCCATACAGTGTGCTATGAGGGAAATTTTGCCCGGGCAGCGGCGCTACGGCCTACTCTTATATCGAATTCAAACTGCCAAGGGATCTTTTACGTGCACGCCAATGTGTACACGGGACCTCGGTTTTTCGTCCCATCCGAACGACTAGGCAGCTGTCCTTGTCAGGCCCTCCATTCTGCATCACTGACAAGGGGAAACCACGCCGGAAAATCGAGATGAACTTTCTCGGACAATGCAGGGATCGAACACCCGACCTCCAGGCTAGCAAGCCAGCGCCTTACCCACTTAGCCACGTGATCCCCAACTTTAGCCTCTAGAGCACAAGATTTTTCAAAGTGATCAAGGACCTTAACTCCAGTAGTATTTTTAGGAAATTGTTGAAATTTAATAGGCTTTTTCAGCTCATGACTGTAAACACTGTGTATAAATTTAAAGTTTATTGGATAGTAACTTTAGCCTCTAGAGCGCCCACAAGATTTTTCAAAGTGATCAAGGGCCATAACTCTGGCAGTAATTATCAGAAATTGTTGAAAATCAATTGACTTTTTCGTCTCATGACTGTAAACACTGTGTATGGATAAATTCAAAGTCATTTAGATATTCACTTTAGTCTCTAGAGCATCCACAAGCAATTGTGGACGCCGGATGGATGGACAGGGGGAGCGATGCCAATAAACGGCCACATTTCAATGTGGGCGTAGAAAAACATATACTAATCACACAGTAGAATGGTGACTACAGTATATGAAGCTAAACAAGTTGAGCATGCAGGAATTAGTTTGATTTTGACACAGCAGTTAGTGGGCTTTGTCTACATGTGTTGATGCCTGAGGTTCTGTTGTTGAAGCTTCAAAATGGGTGTCAAGTCACTGTCTTTAAATATCAAATAAATTTAACTTTTTTATGTATTCAGTTGTAATTGGGTATAATAGGGCCAGTGCAAACTAGTAAGATAGCTGCAGAAGTTACGCTACACTGAGTATAACCTGGTCGTTTCAGGACCATCATATGGCACTAGACTTCTGATATCCAATCAATAATTAATTACTGACAATGACTTGACACCCATTCCGAATAGTACCTTACACATCAACACACGTAGACAAAGCCCACAAACTGCTGCGTCAAATTCAATCAACATATCTTTCTTTGTTTCATTAACTAGCTTAAGTCATTGATTTTTCTAATCTACCCACATTTCCCTAGCTTGTGCCATTCTGTACAAAAATCTATAGCAATTGGAGAAAAACAGGAAACCCTAGTAAGTCCATCATGTTAAGTACTTATGATGTATTACATGTGTTTATTAATTAGTCAACTTTAAACTTTTTTAATTGCACGGGATCAAGAGAAGGAGACCGACTCTAACCAGGTTATAGTATAACACTACTGAGATTGAAACCATGAAACTTGGATTAATGACAGACCTCATGATCTTAAGTGCATGCATTAGACCACACTACAACCCACCCCCAGCACGGGATCAACTCAACCCGAATCAGTTTATTAAGAAAATATTGGTTAAACTAACTCAAAGATAACATTAGTTAGTTAGTGTAGAGCTCACTCAACTTAAAGGGGAAGACCAACGATTTTCAACAAGGGTTCCATAAACCTTAAATATATATTGATAAATAATCCCCTCTGTAGCACAAGCAAAAAGGTTTTTGTAAGTGAGAAATTAATTTTTATTAAAACAGGAAGTGACATAGTTGGTTCAACACGCTGACTGGGCTCTATAGTAAGCATACAGATTTGGCATAAGTTTACTACTGTATTGTGTTCACGCATCGCCCTTTGGCCGAAAATCTGATCAAATGGGCTGTTTATTAGGATATCATAAACACGAATTTATGTTTTATTAACGTTTAGTACACAAAGCCGTCGTGTAAATTCACCCATACTGAACAGTAGGCTGTGTCTCAATTCACGCCACATGGCTAATTGTTTATATCACGTGGTTTGATTGACAGCTTGCAAGTGACATGTGTTTCGTCTGCTTCGATGGTTTTTTTTGTGCTTGCTAACAGCGTTTTTCAACATAAACAGATCAAAATTATGGGCATGTGAGACATATAATATATAGTGCATTTTGGCACGTAATGTCGACGTGAACGTCTTTTCCTTTTTTCTTCCATTTCCTCTTGAGAATGGCTGGGCTCAAATGTTTTTACGGCATTACTTTAGACCACTCATAGACGATTTATATTCCACAAGCAAGCTGTCAATCAAACCACGTGATGTAAACAATTAGCCATGTGGCGTGAATTGAGGCACAGCATACAGTTTAGTATGAGTGAATTTACTTTGTGTACTAAACGTTAAAAATACATAAATTCGTGTTTACGATATCCTAATAAACAACCGATTTGATCAGATTTTTGGCCAAAGGACGACGCGTGAACACAATATGGCAGTAAACTTGTGTCAAATCTGTATGCTTACTATAGAGCCAAGTCAGCGTGTTGAACCAACTATGTCACTTCCGGTTTTAATAAAAATTAATTTCTCGCTTACAAAAACTTTTTTGTTTGTGTTACAGAGGGGATTATTTATCAATATATATTTAAGATTTATGGAAACCTTGCTGAAAATCGTTGGTCTTCCCGTTTAAACATCTTGCCATCTCATGCCCAATGTTATTAAAATTAGATAAACTTTGGTTCTTACAAGTGTTTTTCTGACTTTTAACTATATACTGTTTAAAATCAACTTTCTATCAACAATGTGTTCAGCCAAACAGTGTGCTCTGTCTAGGCTATCCACCAAATACACACAATTCCAACACATGCTACATGGAAAGTATTTCAAATTGGATGACTCTTAAGACATTGAACAATATTTAATTCAATTAATTGCCTAACTTACCAAATTTAGTACGCATAGTTTTTGTGTTGGTGATTCTGATTTAACCAATTGCTAAATCAATCTGAATAACCAGCAAACAATATACCTAACCAATTTCTTTGTAATGATAGGTTGACCCAGTGATGGGATTTTGCTTGTATATTCCGGACATGTCTGACACTATTTTCCAGACTTCTAAAATTGTTCGACCAGGAATATGTCCAATCAGACATCAAGATATGGTAAATAATATTCAAAATTCCAAAATTAATATAGTGTACTGAGTGTATAACTGCCACTCAACCCAATTATCGATGATAATAGGCTGGATTGATTTGGTAATTAAGTGATCAACGTATTTATCGTGTTATACCATCTACACACCATCTATACATCTATACACCATGATTGACTGACTTAATCCTTTATCGTACAATTCATCAATCTAATCTTAAACAGAAGCAGGGCTCAAAACTCATGAAAGCCATCACGGCCATTGCCGTTGTAAACATTGGAATGGCCGTCGATAGCAGTAACATCCACGGCCAAAAATTGCTGTTGTAAATTTCGGAAAAAAATCAATAAAAATACGATAGCCATTGGCCGTAGAAATTACTTAAATTGCCGTCGATAGCACTGATATCAGAAGCCAAATTCATATTGTGTGAGATGCGTTTTTTCCGTAAAACTTGGCTAGCTATCACGATTTATGCTGCAATTGAAATCGTGATTTTAACCATGGAGTAATCATGGTGATCCTATCAGGTCTTATCATATATTGAGGTCAGTCGTAGCAATCATGTTGATCATATTGCAATGCATCTGAACATATCTGCACGTACCATATCAATAACCCAATAGGGACACTCCTATCATAATGCATCGCACCACAGTGGGAACCTAGCATAAACTATTACATATTTAACTCTTTTATTATATCATTTGTTCACTAAAGACATCTCTTTTAGCTTCCACCATATTCTCTCAACTTCCAGTTACCAATCGTGCAAGCATACATCTCTCTAGCAGACGACTTTCACTCAAACAATGATACATGTAAACAGTGCAGATGACAGGGTTAACAATTTGTACTATTATAACTTACTGTTTGAGCTAATAACAATTGTTTAGGTGGAGCATCTAAATGTTCTTCACCACCATATTTTTCTAATATAGACTGCTTAGCTGTCTGTTTAAAACCATCTTTTCTCTGTTGAAATTCTTTCTGTAATAAGGCTAGTTTGGTAGGATCAGCTTGAAGATGGACATCTACTCCTCTTTCATACGCTTCCCACGCAAATACTAAAACATTCAAATGTCAAAATCTTGTTACAATACAATTTACTGAAAAGATTGATTTGTGGTAATACATCACTACAGTTTGAATCTTGGGGTATACATGTGTAATAAAAAAAAAAAAGATGTATATATGGCTATCAATGTAACACATACACATTAACTTGAAAACGTGACCTGTATGTGTTACGAAACGTTGTTATCAAATAACAGAGATGTCGTTATATCCATATATACCTTGTGTTGTGTTTTGTTATGAATAGTTAACCGTATTTCTAGATGTCATTTAAAGAATTGTTCTCTAAAAGTATTTGTGTTTTTAGCTTATCTAAATAAAGTCAGACAGGATATTCCAAATATCGCAATACAAACAACACCGTTAAACTTACATTGTTCTTTAGCCATTTCATGAGCATCACCAGACACGCGAACAAAATTATCACCAGCATAATGTAAGCTGGAAAATAGTATTGAAAAACATCATATTGATTGATACTCGAACACAGTTGAGTGATTGTGATAATTCAGTTACATTCCATGTTTTGTCAAAATTCATCCTCCAAACAGATTACTGTATTCGCAGATATAACATAGGTATGTCTTCTAAGTTTTATGAAAATTAATCCCATCACTAGGTCTAAAGTTATCACATTCCAAATATGCATTCCAATAGACCCCCAGCATTAGCAGAAAAAGTGGAGAGGGGTGGGGGGAGCCTTTATTTCTGACAAACTATTCTTTATATATTTTCATGGGTACTGTAATATGCTTATTGAGATTATGGCAGTTATCTTTACAATAAAAGAGCCATGTTGACTCAATAATAAGGTTTCACATTAGGTCATATAAAAAAATATTGTGTTTCTCAGACTAAGTGTCTCACTTAAAGAGCTGCATGACCCATATTCATCTTAAAACTAAACCAGCGGCTGCCAGACAGGATACGCCCAAATTTTGCAAGAGATGGATAGAGAAAAAGCTAAACAAAAAGCGATTTTTCGTAAAATTATGGGCCATAATTCAGGAAGTTACGATCCAATATGAGCAAATATGAAAAGGAACCAACATGATAAGTTTCATCAAAATCAGATGAAAATTGTGACCTGTAGAGTGTCCACAAGCTAAAAATGTGTATTTTTCGTACAATCAGGGGGCCATAATCCATGAAGTTATGGTCCGATATATTAGTAGTCGTATAAAAACAGATTCATTAATTACCGCACGTAAATTTTTCTCCTTGGTTACAGGTATTAACTTTATAAAAATTTTGAATGAATCTAGAAATGTACTGTAGGCTCAATTATTAATTACAATACACTGATAAGATTCTTTGACAAACTTTAAACCTCTCTCTCCCGCATCAGATTTTCATAAAGGATAGTCTGAGAAACAGAATACGTTTTTTGTAGGGCCTTGAATACATCTATATGCCGGTACATACTCTGCTTTGTCTTTACCACTCCCAGTAATCTCATATGGATTCTGTCTCATTGATCGTGTTTTGGGGTCGTAGAATGCAGAGTTCAAATCTAGATTATATAAATACTGAAAAAAAAGGAAATGGGTTAATTTTAAAAACTACTTGATGCAATCTTGCTTATATCATTATGCAAATGGAAACAAGTCTCAAGTTAACAAATTTATACCTTATCTCCTAGAGGCATTTAGTAAGTGGATAGAGCAATAAACTATAACACATACTTATGGAAGAACAATTACTGACTTATTTAGGTGACGTTTCGAAGTGTATTCTCTCAATGTTGAGATAATACTCTTTGCAACGTTGTCTAAATAAATTAGTAATTGTTCTTCCATAAGTATGTATTATAGTTTAAATTTATACCTGTTCTATTTAGTGTTAAAAACCCATTTTAAACCCACATTTTTCGATTTAAGTTGTCTGGAAATGTGCACCAATGGCCACAATAATTTGAATTAAAACATTCCAATTTCTAAGGAAAAATCAATTTAAAAACAAAATGTATTCTTAACAAAAACTATTTGGTTGTGCTCCAGATTTCACAGTTTTGAATTTTTCGCCACTTGTTAAAAAGGAAATATGTGAGATCTAAATCTACCTTTTGCAGGTCTTTCTTAGGCCTTAAATGTTATATAAACTATTAATTAGATATTTATTAATATGGCAAGACCATAATCAACTCTCGATGCCATATGATGGGTTCAATTTTCAACAGATTTGAATCTGTTCTGCAGTTCAACGATGGTTGATGATTAACTGTAAAAATTGATGATCGAAACTTTATTTATCGAAACAATGGACACAATGATAATCAAGGCAACAGTGTGATTGAAATGAAAATTTCTCGGCTCAGTGTGAAGTAATTTGACTAAAATTGTCAACATATTCTCTTTACGTTATCTATTTTTTTAACTATAATAACGAGAACTATCAGCTCTTTATCTAATCTTCCATAATGCCCCTTTAAGATCCTAAAAAGAACTAAAAATCATTGTTTGGCCTAACTGTGCCCTGCTCCTGTATGATCAGGTTTTTATTCTGCTTTGCAGTTTTCTTGCATTGAACTTATTTTAGAATTATTAAACATACATTACGCAAGAGCTAAATCTGCCTTTTGCAGGTCTTTCATTAGCCTTGAAATGTTTTCTAAATTATTGATTAGACATTAACTTATCCAGACCATTATCAACTCTCGATGCCATGCTAGCCTGCGATATTTAACAGATAGGAATACATTTTTTGAAATTTAATTAAATGTAAAAATTGATAATCAAAACTATGTTTTTTATCGTACTGACTTTAGTAATGATGATCGAGGCTAGCCTAAAATTCAAAAGCTAATATCTTGGTTCAGAGTGGAGCAATTTGACTGAAATTTTCAGCATATTCTATTTATTTATCTTTTTTTTAACTATTATAGCGAGAACTGTCAACTCTGTATCTAATATCCCATAATGCCCCTTTAAATGATTGACTGTAGCTGAACTAAAAGTCATACTTTATTAATTTTTTTCTCAAATGAAAGCAAATTTAATAAATATTGTCTATAATTTCTATAAAGGTATGCACTAGCATACTTACTTTGGCAGTGTCTTCCCGAATACGTAAATTTCTAACAGTAATTCTTTGTTTTGTTTCAAACTTTTGTCCAGGCATAGCCAGATCATCAGCATATTTATCTTCATCTTCTTCGTCATCATCATCTTCTTCTTCTTTCTTCTGTTAAAAAAAAAACCCCAAAAAACCAAAGACATAAAAATTATATCTATAAGAGAATATAAGATGTATTATACAATTAATTAATTATTGGATATGTAATTATTATTGGAATAAAAGTATAGCTAAATAGTTGATTTCTTTTAACTATATACACAGCAAAAGATACAATATAAATTCATCCAAGATATCATAGGCATTATATTCAAACACATCTGAGCTCTCTTGGATAGACAGTGACATTCCAAGTTTCATTACGAAATTAAAAATATAGATTCTATCACATACACAAGCAATAATGGATGGACAAACCAATCTACGGACTGACAGGGGTGAGGATGCTATATATCCACGTTAAATGTGGACATATAAAAAAAACATACTTACAACATCATCTTCTTCATCTGCACCTGTTTTTAATGACTCGTCTAATTTTTGTTCCTTTAAAGCTCTCTTCGCCTGAATTTTAATAATATAATACAATTTAACAATATATATGTCATATATATATGGAATGGTGCATCAAATTTTCTGTAATATTATACAGATTAATTATCATATCATAGGCATTGCAATTAAGATCTTAAACTTTGTGAATACTACTCAAACCTTACAGGCTTATGATGACAGTTGACTCATACAAAGATGTGCTATAGTAGGTTAGTGTTTGAATAAGGTAAACAGATTATTTTGAAATATAAGATATATTTTCTTGATGAAAGAGATAATGCCACAATTACCTATCCTCAATAGCACACTGTACAGGATAGGCCTGTCTTCAAACTGTTCACTGGCCCAAATAAGTAAAACATTAGACCCCAGTTTATTCATTTACTCTCCAGTTTATCTTTATCTATGTCATTATGAAATTTCTTGTTCTACTTACCGCCTCTATTTTGTTATATTCTTCAAATAATTTCTGTCTATGTTCATCTGTGTCAATACCATTCCACCTATCTCTCTTTCCCTCATAATCAAAATCTACTTTACCTTGAATATATTCATCTGGTGCTATAGATTCTCCTGTAAATTTAGCTCCCACTTTCCTTGGTCTCTACAATTCAAAATAATGCAATAAAAATTTTCTACTGCCACATTGTAAAATATTTCAATTGATTTAATAGTTAAAACGGTTGTTACTCTTTATGGGATTGTTGCCCAAGAACAGTCTTAATTCAAAATGTAATATCATCATTAATAAGTAAGCTTATTGGCTATAATTAAATACCTCCAAACAATCTCTTTTTTTATGTGTCACAGCTCCACAGTTTTCACAGGCACCTTTACGAAACTTAGTAGCTACAGGACCCTAGAGGAGATACAAGTTACATGTATATAATGATAAGTAGCATGAGACTGCAACAAAATTATATCACCAAATAGTGTTGATTATTATAAACTTTCATCAATTAACTATATACATTACTGAGACATACATTTCATCAATTAACTATATACATTACTGAGACATATACTGCACATCAGTTATTGAGTTAGACCTGTAACCACACGATTGCATGTATGATCCTCTCTCTTTAGCTTGTTTCCTTGAATAAGACACTTTCTCACTGTATTCATGTCTAGCCAGCTGTAATTGAGTTCAAGTATGAAATTGCATAGTGAAATTTAAGGAACCTAAAAAATGACCATTGCATAGAACTAACCACCCAACAAATGTAAAAAGTTCTCAATGTGTTGTGCGTCTTGTTATTTTAATTTTAGAAGGCCTGAAATCTAACATGATGTGCTGTCAATCAAACCTATTACATTTCGCACAACACACTTAATAACACATACACTACATGTATGAGCAAAAAAAACCATGGACAAACAAAAATTAGACACACAAAATCGTAACTTTAATGGGAAATGAAATCTAAGTCACAGAAATGTTATTGGAGGAGAACAAAAAGATGATTAAAGTAAATAAATGTAAAAATTTAATTACTTTAAATCATACAACACAAAATCATGGAAACATCAAAAAGACATTGTTTCATACCTCTTTAATACCCTTCTTATACCATTCATTCACTGACACTGTACTGTAGACTTTTTTCTTCTCATCTTGTGTCCGTTGATGTTTTAAAGTTGCTGATGTTGAACCAAAGTACCAAGGTGCTTGCATAATATACTGAGGTATATGTGGATTAATATCTCTATAAAACACAAATGTAACATAGTTATCTAAAAATATGTTTCAGTAAAATAGAGACATTTCAGTAATGAAAGAAAAAATATATGTATATTGCTAATAGATAGTGATATCTTACTTTCCATCTTCATCTTGCATAGCTGGTGCTGTACCAGCTTTTCTCATTTCATCTAATTCTTTCATTTTCTTCCAATCTTCCCTGGATTGTTTTTTTGGTCCATCGTGTTCTTCTTCTGACTTGGCCATCTTGGCCACCACTGATGGTGGCAGATTTACTTGAAAGGACATAATGTCCTGTTTTAATTATTCACTTCTGTGCTGTTAGTATTTTCTTTCAAAATGATCTAAAATAAAATAGGAAATTGGTACTTTTGATACAGGTATTTTTATCAGCTTGAATATATAAAACAACAGATGAACATTGCCTTGTGTTCATAAGACCTGCATTTGTGGAACCAAATGAAATGCATTTGTCTTTTAAAAATTCAGTATAATACAAGAAAGAAACTAAATCAAAATCATGAGAGGACACTGAATATTAATTACTACACAATGCCAACTTGTTAGTTATTTGGGAACTGTCTCTGGACGTCAAAGCACTTTGTGGAATGCGAGACAGTTCCCAAAGGAACTATACACTTGTATGAAAATATTGTTCCAATACAGTTGGGTAGGCCTACTCATTTTAGAGGACTCTTTATTAGGATTAATTATAGATAACTGACATATTAAATGCATTATGTAAGAGCTGTCTCTGGACGTCAGAGCACTTTGTGGAATGCGAGACAGTTCCCAAAGGAACTATACACTTGTATGAAAATATTGTTCCAATACAGTTGGGTAAGCCTACTCATTTTAGAGGACTCTTTATTAGGATTAATCATAGATAACTGACATATTAAATGCATTATGTAAGAGCTAAATCTGCCTATGCATTTTTAAAAATATGTTGGATAACTGCACGTGGATGACTTTGGATGAATGAATGATTGAAACTTTGATAAATTTCTACAACGAAACCGTGCGAAGAACATGGCATCTCATTTGCAATATTTGTAGCCGTTATAATTCTTATTAATGCCTACAATTGATACACTATTCATGGCTTTGAGCAAGTAAAATTAGGTTCAATTGCAAAATTTTTAACAGATATCATCACAGTTTACATGGAAATAAGTAATTATGTTACAAATAGTGAAGAGTGGAACACTGAAATCTTAAAGTAGCTAAGTCTCTAAATCAATACCATCGAAAGTCTTCGACATTGAAAACACAAATTATTTGTTAATTTAAATCAACATTAATGCTGTGATCTTACTGGGGAAAGATGGGCTTCTGATATTCAATATTTAAGACAAAATAAACATTTTACCACTGGTACATGAGTCGTGTACCATAATGCGATTTAGCGCCATTTGTAACAAGAACGAGGCTAGACATGTTCCACAAATCATGTCAAACGGTGAAGTCATATTCTTATCTGCAGAGCATCCGCAACAAATACTTTCAGTGTAAACTGGAATAAACAGACGCTAGAGATTGTCATTTGATTGCGACTTCTGGTATATTTCGCCGAACATAAATGATTTGAAATTAGGTAAAAACGAAAACTATTGAATATAAATCAGTTTATTACATTATTTTATATGCGTTGTGTGTCAATTTCTAGGTCCAAAATATTAGTGATTTAGCTCTATAGTGATCGAGGGTCTTTCTACAAGTACCAAGTCCCACTTGGTGTTCCCAGGCGTCCGCAATAATAACAATGTTACCTATTTGAAGTCTAAAGCATAATCTGAGCCGCAGCTACGGCAAAACAGCAATATATAGGTTAAATCCCGCTGGTAGCACGGGACTCCGTGGATAGGTGGAAGTAGTCTCGGTTATCCTGACGGACACCTGTATGAGTGTATGTAGGGCAAAATCACAACACTCCTTTAATCTTATCTTACTGAACAGTTTTTCTGTATTTTCGAGTGACATAAAATGACACGATTCTGGTTCGACAGTCATTTTAAAATAACAGAAATTTCGCATAGCAGTTAGGTTTTTAAATCATAAAATTATGCGGTAAGGTTTCCCCTTTATTTCAATGGGAATTGATTTATCATATGTTAAGTTAGCTATTGTACAGTACAGTTTGGGGTCAGTGGAAATTGGAAATTAAGGGTGTTATATTAGGCCAGTAATTTTTTTGTAGTCAAATCCTACAAAACTTGCTCAAACTCAACGGAAGGCTTTAAGGACGGTCTACTAGTACTACTGTGGCTGGAGCAAGCTGGAAGTGGAAGACATCACGATCAGTAGGGCCTAGTACCAGTGGAACCATTTCTAGGCATCTCACTGAGATCCTGAATGTTTTAGCAAATTCCAAGAATACCGGTATGATACATCTACTGAAAATTAAATCATGTTTATTTACTAATATTCGTTGTCAAAACGCAGTTTACCTTGTTATTTATTTCTGTAATCGCTCGAAAACGTTACCGGAAGTTTTGGTTTTAGTCAATATGCCCCTTACGACATAATAAATATCGATGTAAGAAACCCAGTGGAACAAACTGTTTATTAGTGGACATAGCTTGTAAATTTGCATAAATGATCTGTATGATTTTCTGTTATCGTATGAGTAAGCGTGCCTGAATAAAAATCTACACAAGTATGTTTAAGATCGCTATCTTTTCTCAATGTCATAAGAGATATTACAAGATAAGATAACTCTGTTTCACGACCCACGTTTTCCGTATTGTCTGTAAACAAATGTAACCAATCTCTAAAATGTCACAACTGAGACATTTCTGGGGTTGTCATAAACAGTTTTACGACTTATTTTCTCCAATTTTAGGGGGTAGCACTATTTCATCAGCATGTTTAAGACAATGCTCTTCCCAAGCAAATATTAACACAAAACGACAGTACAAACGACTCAAATATATTTCTAGCCAACTCGGAGGCGGCAGAAGAAAGAAACCAAAGGCAGTTGAGATTTCCTTAGCAAGTAATAATGCCCAAATTGAAAATTTTCACAATGACAGGGTACCGTTAATTGTTAAAATGATGACAGAGCATAGAAAAGATAATACTTTAATTAATGGCACTGATTCTGTAAGTCAAGAAGAACTTGAAACTGGTTTAAAAAGAATTAAACATGATTTCAGAGCTCAAGTTATAAAAGCTGAATCTATTCCCGAAGAAGTGGCATTTATTAGTGAAGACACAGAGACATCAAATAATTCTGAGCTAGGTTTTGTTGAAACTATTTTTCTGGATGATGAAACTCAACAAGAAAGGAGTACAAAAAAGCTTCTTGGAACACCATTACCTGGAACTGGTGTCAGTAATATCCCATGTTCTGGTTGTGGTGCCAATCTTCACTGTGAAGATCCCTATTTACCAGGATATATGAGGGGAGAAAAATTTACTACGTTAACTACTGATGAACTGAGGGAGTCTGTGTGTCAAAGATGCCACCTAATATTAAATTCTAACATGTGTCTTGATGTGAAAGTGGATGCGAAAGACTATGCCAGAATCATTTCAAACATAAAAGCTACATATCCATTAGTTATTGTTATGGTCGACTTGTTAGACATAGAAAACAGTATATTTCCAAATTTGTTTAAGTCAATTGGAAGAAATAAACAATTATTTATTGTTGGAAACAAAGTAGATTTAATTCCGAAAGATCAACCAGGATATCTTCAAAGTGTCAAATCTTCTCTTGTCAATGCATGTGAAAAAGCGGGACTGAATAATTATAATAATATTAAACATGTGGCTTTAATTAGTGCTAAGACTGGTTATGGAATAGAGGAATTGATAGACAGATTATTAGTCAACTGGGGAATAAATGGTATGGATGAATGGGTTACGATAATAATTAAATAAAGTAGAACACCTAAGTAGGCTGAATAGAAACTTAGAAAGGGTATTTTATTGTTTTTTTTTGATAGAAATCCAATTTTATTACAAGCTTTTTTGTGCAGACCATTTTGCCAATATTCTACACATGTTATATTATGGGGTAATCGGTGAAAGTGTAGTGTCTACACAATGATCATGTAGTGTCTAATCAGTGATCAAGTAATCAGTGATCATGTATTTTTGTAGTGTCTAATCAATGAACATGTAGTGTGTAGTGCCTAATCAGTGAACATGTAGTGTATAATATCACTGGTGTCTAATCATATTGACTATATTTTCAGGCGATGTTTATTTACTTGGTAGTACAAACACAGGAAAGTCAACACTGTTCAATGCATTATTACAATCTGACTATTGCAAGTCACATGTCAGAGATTTAATTCACAGAGCTACAACATCAATTTGGTCAGGTACAGTACCTCTCAAATTTTTCAGACCAGAATTGCGTGAACACCGCGAAAAAAACCACTAAGAAATCGCTAAGATTTCACGGGGAATTTCCACTCAATTCCTCCTCGAATTTCCACCACGATTTGCTCGAAATACTTTTATACGGTAGCAGGAATGTTGTTATTTCTCGAAGTATTACTAAATGTTCACATTTACTGATGGCCCAAAACTAGTCATGCTTGGAAATACATGTACATGTAGCTAAGGTTTCATCGAGTTTATCGGTAGTGTATTACTTTCACGAAGTATTTCACTCTTTCCTATGTTTCCTATTTTCCGATAGCCGTGAATGTCTTCATTTATGGCATTTGTAAGTTCTACTTTCCTACGTAGAGGAGACAACTTAAATCAATTCCACTGTACGAACGTTTCAATATATCAAAATCAGTAATAGATCTACATGAATACATTATAAACTACCTGTTCTCTTTTGCCGAAATTAAGTTCGTTCGTTCACTTCCACCATAGACAACCGAAATTAAGGAAATCTTTATCCATTTATATTCCAAAGAGTAATGCACTACGTGTATAAAACTCGTTCACTTGGCGAATGAATACATATCAAATAAGTCCCCTAATCTGTAGAATATATATTACACGCGACGTGGTAATCCCGCAGGCCTTGATAACATTGAAACTGTTCACTGCCTTGAATGGGGCTTATTTGATTCTAGAGACAAACTCAAATATAAGTGGGGCTACTACATGGAAAATACAGAACACTTTTTCTTTTTTGCCCACTGTACAAGGAAGAACGAATCCATACCAGGGATAAACTCCCTTACCATTTCCACAATATTTCAGCAATTCTTGACAGAAACCCCAATGTAAACGATTGTGAAAACCAGGCCTGTTTTGAAATTGTTCATTCGTATATTAGTGCTACAAAAAGTTTCAAACTGATAAAGTAGTGATGTAATCGATTAAAATCCCAAAACTACCGATATAGATTGCCGGTGAATGTTGGATTATTATACATGTACACGTTTTCGTGGCAACATTAAAATTTATTGTAGACAATATTAGTTTGACCCTAGCTTCCTCGCTCAAGATTAACATACATGTATTCAACTTAAATAAAGTAAATTTTTCTTCAACATGATAGAATCGGGACCATATCGACACACAAGCGATTCACCATATTTCACCGCAAAATTCTGAGATCCACCGTAAAACTCTGTGATCCACCGTGAAACTCTGTGATCCACCGTGAAACTCCGTGATTTGGCACAGTAGCGATTCGCTAAGGATGTCCCGCGAAACTCAGCGTTTTTCCGCTGTGTTCGGCGATTCTAGTCTGAAACTCTAGCCGTGTACTGTGTATTTTTAAAAAGTGTTCCCGAAGAACAGAAAATCAAATTGTCGTTACACGCTATATGAGTACATGTATGATTAACTACATATGACAAATTACATGCAACTCTTTACTTAAAGTATAGTTGATGGATAGAAGAATCCTTAAAAGCGCAATGAAGATCAGATCTCAGGAATACGTTTGGGGATCAAAATAAAATATAAAGAAAGTATAGGTGAACATCTCCAAGCAATGATCTTGACAAAACTATTAAAAGAAGAGTATTATAATCCAGGAAGCATTTCAGGTTGATAAAGGGCTTACACTGAGTCTGAAAATGCATCCTTAAAAAACTACTCCTCTTCTAATACAGTATTGTCACAGTCGTTACTTGGAGAGTATCTATACTTTAATAACTGTTTGATATTTTGTTTTGAGTTTTTCTGTCTTGTTTAATATAATAGGTACAACATTGAATCTGTTAAAGTTTCCCATCATGAACCCTGAACCATGGAAATTAGTAAAACGAAGAGTGAGATTGTTGAAAGCAAAGTCTGAAGAAATGGAAGAAAAAAAGATAGAAAAACGAAGTACAACAGTAGAAACAAAACCTTATTCTGAAACCATTTTAACAGGTTAATAAACAAAACTTTTTAAACGGCAGTCCTTCATTTTTTTCATACTTAAAGCCTTTAACCGTAATCGTAAAACAATGACATTAAAATATTGGACATATTCAAATGGCATATAACGATCTGTATTTTCTTCTCGACTTGTACAATACAAGGCTTTCACTTCAAGAGGGTTGGGTGGCCAAATAGTTAACTTGTGCGCCTCGCATCATATGGTCTGTCATTGAGTCAAGTGGCATGGTTTTGATTCCCAGCTTATACGTGACAAGGAGTAGGGTTGCCTGTCAAACCTCGTGGGTTTTCTCCAGGTTCTCCAATTTCCTCCCACTGCTAAATACCCCTATGCGCAAGCAAATTAATGAAATAAAATTGAACTATGTGTTAGTTCTGAAATGACCTAGTTTGTGTTGAATAGACATTAAACCCCATTTCTGTCAGTGGACATTAAACCTCAACCTCTCTCTCTCTCTCTCTCTTCAGAATTTTGCTATCTGTCCAATTTTGACTTATTCTTTTTCTCCTCAGATTAGCAACTGGTACATTATGCACTTGTAACAGGAGACTATGAATAAAAAGTATTATATTGATTAACATGGTATCTTTTCATCATTGATTTGTTTATACTTGAGTCTAGAGTTTTCTCCCTTAGACCTCAAATCCTAATGGCTTTACAGATCCGTTTAGCTCAAGGTGTTGTCTCAGTTTTCACAGGATGCCCTAAATTAAATTGGGTTTAAGTATGTAAATCAGACCTCAAAATGTGTCTAATTAACCATTAGCCTATTGACATTATCTGAAAATTTCAAATTAAAATATTGAGTCCTTCAGAGATGACCGACCGCTAGATTGGCTTAAAATTATGTAACACTTTTAAAGTATGTCATAATTAAATTGTATGTGTGACTTGATGACCTGGTGCTGGTACGTTCGGGCATTTTTATGCGCGAACTCTTAGTTTTTTTTTTACTGGCATGCGCACAGGTACTATTTCTTTATCTTTTAACAAGTACCCAAATCGGGGATTTCGTGCGGAGGTAGTTCGGAGGTAAACAGTCTGTGAAGTACAACACTTGCTACTGTACCTGTGTATCGCTAATTATAAACCGAATGTGTGAAGACAGTTCATACATATCACTCAAAAATTTTTCAGTACAAACTCAGTTGATTCACGCTCGATTTGCTACTAAACAAACCCATCGGTTTATTTTCTCAACAGTGTGACCCGAAGTGACCGCGGATTTATTGACCTTGTATGAACTTATCCATAGCTATATCCTTACACCGAGAGAAATTATCTAGTCTCGGTGAAAAGAACCATGGTCATCTGGTAGAAAATTACTTTTGTATTTTTTGGAACGGAAAACAGTGTTTTTAGAAGCAAACTAACCTGCCGCACATGAGGAAGTCATTATACTAATAATAAAAGGCGAGACCTCTTTTTGCGGCGCAGGCTTATCACTGAGTAGTAAACCGTCCACAAACAATAATATAGGAAGCCTAGTGACGAGTGTTGTGGTAAGTAGGCTATAGACTATAGGTTTGAGTCGAGATTACTCGCTTTCAGTTTACTCTGTTTTTGCGATAACCAATTATGTGAGAAATACCATACTGACATTCGGTTTTTAAAAGTTGTACGTGAACTAAATGCGTTTGTTAGATACTGACAGAGCAGCCCCGAGTCAAACAATCGCCGCCCGAGCTGTCTTCGTCAGCTAGTTTCACAATATCGTGCAATAGGTGTATTAATGTGATTTTTAGGTTTAATCCGCAAACAATGCCAAAATAGTGTTTTCAATGCTTACAGAAAACTGAAATTTAAAAAAAAAAATTTTTATGAGGGTGACCCTCCCACACACTCCCTATCGAGCTGCCGCTCGGTCTGCACAGCCTCATGCCTGGCACATACTGTCAACATTGTATATTTTTCCATTTCCGCCCTTCCCCCCCACAATATATATTTCACGGCTACGTTGCGACGGTACCAGCATACCCAGTTGTTGACACCCATTACATCACTCCTGTCTAACAAATCATAAAGCTGTGGTGTTACGGTGGCGGCATAGTATTTCACCGTAACACCACAGCCACTCTAACCAGTCATAATACATCTAACTATCCCTTTACAGCACTTCACTCCCTACACATTTCCCCTCGTCCTACTTTCCCAAACGTCAACAACACATCTCATACATCCAGTTCGCTGATTAACCCTTGTACCACGTCTACTGGATAATCAGTTTGTTAACAACTACTATAACCTGGGCAAGAATAAACAATGTTGCCCAGATGCTTATGCAGCACAAAGTATGGGGACTTTGGCCATCTCCAAATGAATTTGGAAAGTTATAAAGATACACAGAGCTTCATATAATTGCACAGGTCTAGAATTAAAGTGCCTTTCACCCTCAATAAACCAGTTTTGTTTACCATAATGTATCTAGAACATTCTTCTATAATGGATTATTGATTTGATATTTAAACCAAGACTAAATAAAATACTGTAATGGAGATAGATCTTTACACTTTAACTGTGTACAACATACCTCTTTGTCGTTTGAGATGGTGCTCAACAAGTTTTCTCTTCACTACCAGAACAGTAACATCTGCGTCATCTTTGTATTATTTACTTATTTGAAGCTTTTTAGGAAAAACAAAGATTTTTTTATACACCCATATTGATATGTAATTGTATATTGTTGTCAGCCCTATCTGTCCGTCTTATGTTCACTATTGCTTCTGGACGCTCTAGAAATTAATACACAATGTTTATGAGACAAAAATGTCTGATTTTTACCAATTTTGCTGCCATGTAAATACTGTTAGAGTTATTGCCCTTGACCAATTTGAAAAATCTTGTAGATACTGTAGAGGCCAAAGTTAGAATGTATAAACAGTGTTTATGTTCTCGAGAACAAGAAAGCCTGTTGATTTCAGTGATTTCAGACTACTGTTGGCATTATGGCCCTTGATCCCTTTGAAAAATCTTGTTGACAATCTTTTCGATTCCCCAGTTGTACGTGACAAGGAGTAGGGTCGCCTGTCCAACCTCGTGGATTTTCTCCGGGTCCTCCGGTTTCCTCCCACTACAAAAGACCCCTATGCGCAAGTGAATTATTGAAATAAAATTGAACCATGTGTTAGTATCGAAATGACCTAGTTTGTGTCGCATGGACGTTAAACCCATTTCTTTCTCTCTCTCTCTGTTGACAATCTTATAGAATAGGCTAATTTATTCATCCGATTTACATTATGCACTCTTTGATTACTTCCATAGTTATTGCCCTTAATAACTTGGAAAGGAAAAAGGCTTGTGGATGATCAAGATGCTAGAGTTATCTTTCGATTGTCTTTAAATTCAACAGAGGGCATACTTGATTAATGATTGGTATACATTGCCTGAGGTGGCGCAAAGACGGAGCAGGACTTGTTTTCAAGATGGTCAATTTTGAAAACTTTCATCTGTGTGAAATGTCTTTTGGATATTTTTCAAAGAAATAAAATTGTTTTGTGAAAATTCCCATATAAGTTGCATTTTACTGCTACAAATTTATCATAATTGTTCGTATTTGATTATAATCTCACTCATAGTTCAAAGATGCTGATGACTTGGCTGCTATAGGCGTGTTTTTGGATGCCTGACAGCCTATCTTATCATTTTCATGCTGTTCATATTTGTTTGTTTTTTTTTAAAGCAAATATAGAGGCCACTGATTTACGAGGTGATTTAACTATTGAAAAAGAAGCAGAAGAAGACAATAAAGTAGAATTTGTTGGATTTGAGAGAACCAAATCTGGAGAAGTTATTGACAATATTAAAGATAGTGATAACATTGAGAAAAAGAAATATAGTGATTTAGAAAAACAGTTTATAAATGTACGATGGTTATATGATACACCGGGTGTCATTAAAACGGAACAGGTAACATTTTTTAAAGTAACAGTATGTGATTTGCATTTTGTCGTAGAATATCAAATTTCTCACAGTTCTATCCACTCTACTATGTACTATGATTAATTATTTAACATTTAATTAATAAAACAAAATCAAAATATCATAGCCACATAATCCCTGGCTTGGATTCAATCAGATTAAAAACAGGCCCATCAATTAGATTAGCAAACATGTTAAGATGGCGACAATTGTGGACAGTTCAACTTCCATGAAATGTAGAAGGGAGAAGCATAGATAATTTTGCTGTATCATATCTTTCTAAATACACCATTAACAAATCTCTCTCTCTCCCCCTCTCTCTCTCTCTCTTTCTCTTATTTTGTAAATTAGTGACAATGTCATTGTGCGAAACGATTAGATATATTATGTTACCTTCACTGATTATTGTATTTTACAAACGTTACTTTTTTCTTTAGATTGTTAATTTATTAAAACCAGAAGAAGTTAAATGTATAACACCTAAGAAACGTTTAATACCAAGAGTATTTATGTTAAAACCTGGAGAAGTCATGTTTATAACTGGTCTTAGCAGATTAGACTATATTCAGGTTTGTTTTTATTTTCTATTTATGTGACACTTAATCCAAAATTGTTAGCTACATGAAAACTACAGGTGATATATATAAGATATTAAATTCCAGATGGACTCCTGCCACCACCATAATATTTCCAAAGAAATATTTTTAGAGGGCAAAATATTACTTCATTACAACTAACCGATTTTGTAGGCAAACATGCTATATTCATTCAATGTTCATTGATGAATTTATACAAAACTTTAATTTGATTGCATAATTATAATAGAATATAATTTTGTCTTTTAAGGGCCAGAATCCTATAGCCATTACAGTATTTACAGATATGAGTCTACCAGTTATTACACTTAAATCAAGTGATGCTGATTCTTATTATAGTAAACATATAGGTGGAAGCAAACTAAAAGTAAATATTCTTTATACTTACTTCTCATTAATTAATTTAGATCACTGATAAAAAAATCTCTAGTAGACAATGTCTAGATATTTAATGTTTCAAAAATGTAGTTAAAAACATTTTCCTTTGTATTCTCTTAATATCTTGTTCATACCCGCTGTCTATAAAATTTCAAATTACCTGACTTAGAAACATTTGAATGACTGTTTTTTCGCACACAATATACATTTCTATATTACCATATAGTTTGTCATTGAGTCATGTGGCGAGTTTTCACTCCCAAGCTTGTACATGACAAGGAATAGGGTCACTGCCCAACCTCGTGGGTTCTCTTCAACAACAGCATCAACAGGTAATAATAAATGATGTTAAGTCAGATCCAGTAATCCTTATCTGTCGAGTACCCCAAGGATCAGTCCTTGTTGTGTTGTTCTGGCTGTACCTGTCATTTCTGACCAATGTTATTTCTGAACACTGCATTGACCACCTTTCATACACTGATGAAACACAGCTTGTGTCATCGTTCAAGACGAGTCAGATCACCCCTGCTCTAAACAACATAGCCCTTATAAGACAGAAGCAATAATTTTCAGAATATGGAAGCAGTTAGAGGAACTTAGAGTACAACAAGTGTAACTATTAGGGATTCTACCTTTCAAGTTTCTCATACCGTTCTATGAAAGGTGCTCTATTTAATTGCTGAAGGTTGGGTACTATCGTCCAGTCATCTTGTGCACAAATTAGTCCAATTAAATAGAATAATGTTGACGTAAAACGGTAATTGTCCCGCCCTAATAGCTCACGCATCTATACTTTCTATATAAGAAAGAGCAGGGTTAAATATCCCTTCAGGCATCATGTGGGCTTCCTACAGAGACATACCATTAGCTGCCTCGGCTTACAGGCCGGGCAAGAACATCTTGTAGGTCTACCAAGAAGTGTGCGGCTCTTGCCACCTTTAGGACTCTAAGGCATTTTCGGACATCATTTAGTATTCTCAGAAGGGTGCTCCCACAGACATCATTTAGTATTCTTAGAAAAACGTACTCTCAGCCTCTGGATCGAGACTGGAATAGAGACAGTGTAGTGTTTCAGCCGTTGGGTCTGAGTTCTAGGCTTGTTAAACTCAGACTGTAGATATTATAATAACTCCTAATGTACTATCATAGATGTTGTAGTTTCCTGTATTTGATATATAAACATAGTTATAAACCAACAAAGTGTTGCAGACTTAATTGATCATATACACAACGTGGAAGTCAGAGTTAATTCATCTATTTAACAACACCGTAGTGTCACACTTTGTGTGGTCCTTGATTCATGTCTTATCATAGAGACTCTAGTCGATTGTCTGTGTAGGTCGTCTGTGTAGATGGGTAACTTCCAATTGCGACATATTGAACATACATTATTCAAGAGGTAAATCTGCCTATTGCGGGTCTTTCTTAAGGCCGGAAATGTTATATAAGCTATTAATTAGACTTCAAGAGGTAAATCTGCCTATTGCGGGTCTTTCTTAAGGCCTGAAATGTTATATAAACTATTAATTAGACTTTTATTAACATGACAAGACCATAATCAATTCTCGATGCCATCAGATATCTCTGTTATATAAACTATTAATTAGACTTTTATTAACATGACAAGACCATAATCAATTCTCGATGCCATCAGATATCTCTGATATTAAGTAGATTAGAACGGTTCAGCCATATTTTGATTTAATCTAAAAATGGTGAAGCAGGGCTAAGCTTCGAACAACCAGTTAATGCACACATCTTGTTAAACCTTCAAAAGCTAATATCTTCACTCGGAATGGAGCAATTTAAATTTTCAATATACTAATTTTGCATTATCTATTTTCAAACTATTATAGTAACAATGGCCAGCCCTGTATCTAAATCTTACATAATGTATCTTTAAGGATATTAGAAACTTTATAACTACAGATGCCACTAAATCATTAGTTCATTCACTTCCCCCTAAAAAATGGACTACTGTAACAGCTTACTAGTTGGTAGTACACACCCCTTACACAATTCTTAATCGATTGTCTTGAAAACTTTTCATACTTATACCTTATGCCATAAGGATGACCTCTTTTATTTTTGGTGCATGCTTGACCCCTTGGAATAGAGCCATGCCCAATTTTTGTGTGTGTGCCTGTGTTTCGCCTACAGGCCGTATTTCTTAACAGATCCTTTTGAAACTTTAGTTAGTTAGTGTTAGTTGTATTTTACGTCCGCTTCCACCGAGGTGATATCGCAGACAATGACGTGTTATGTGTACAAGGTGCATTAATTTACAATGTGATTAGTGAGAAATATTAGGATGGTTAGGTTTTCATATATATGTACATAGGACAATAAACAACAGTAGGATAACATGTGCAAAGGACGAAACAGGTGCCAGTAGACATTTACAAACATGCGATTTGACGGAACAGACGTGGACAAAGACGGACATTTTCACAGACATAGACATATTATGTACATATATATATATTTTGGGTCGATTGGGTTGGTCTGGTCGTTCTGTCCGGTAGAATGGCAGGGCGGTGCAACTCTACCTTGGGGCTTTGTTGGTGAGTTTGAGTCCTGGTCCATTCTTCCTTCCATTTGGGTATGTTGTCCGGTATGGTAGCGTTTTTACATCTTTATTTATGTTATTCATTCCTTTTATTGTTGGTTCTCTGAAGGAAGAATCCAGCACCTGAAAAAGAAAGCTAGAGAAAAGAGAGTATCTGATCTTACTGTGATTTTTTGGTTATTTCGTCTGGTAAGGCTTCGTGGGGGGGGGGGGGCGGGGAATCATTTTAAACTAATAATAAAAATAATAAGTGAGAGTAAAAGAAAATAGAGTGTTAACTGAATTGCAGATAAATAATAAGAATAATAAATAGATATTAATGGTAATAATGAGAATAATAAATTACTCATGAATTATGTTAATGGTAGATTAGTGGTTTTATTATAAATGTAGGGAGGTTTACGCTTCCTTCTAGAGGACATTTTTGCGCTCCATCCTACTGTTGATTAATTGGTTTTATTAGTTGGTAGATTAATGGTTTTATTATAGATGTAGGGAGGTTTACGCTTCCTTCTAGAGGACATTTTTGCGCTCCACCCTACTGTTAATTGATTGGTTTTATTAGTTGGTAGATTAGTGGTTGTATTATAGATGTAGGGAGGTTTACGCTTCCTTCTAGAGGACATTTTTGTGCTCCACCCTACTGTTAATTGATTGGTTTTAGTTGGTTTATTAATTTTATCGGAGTTATATTAGTTGTGTAAGGCGGTTTACGCTTCCTTCTAGAGGACATTTTTGCGCTCCATCCTACTGTTAGTTGGTTTTATTAGTTGATTTATTAATTATATCGGAGTTATATTAGTTGTGTAGGGCGGTTTACGCTTCCTTCTAGAGGACATTTTTGCGCTCCACCCTACTGTTAAATGATTAAATTCAGTATTTTATATATATCGGAGTTATATTAGTTGTGTGGGGCGGTTTACGCTTCCTTCTAGAGGACATTTTTGCGCTCCACCCTACTCTTTAATTGATTACATTCATTATTTTATATATTTGGTCATCCCTATGTTCTCAATAAAATCCCAGACAAGTTGTGATGTCCAGTGTCTATCGTCGGGTTGTGGAGAAAGGAGTGATTTGAGACAGAGGGTGTTTCCCCTCTCTGCTAGATTCTTAATTACAGATTGACGTTCTTTGCTCAATTGATTGCAGTCAATTAGCAGGTGAGACGTGGTCGCGATTTGTCCACATGGGCATTTAATTGGATTGAAGGTGAAGTCTTTTATTACGTTTATCGTTTTAAGCCTCGTGATGAGTTTGCATATTTTGATTGATGGATGATTGGTGTAAACCTTGTCTACAAGATTGCTATCAATTTGATAGCGATGAGTATTCTCTTGTTTTAGACTTTTGAAACTTTGCATACCTATTCCTTATATTCTAAGGATGATTCCTATTGTTTTTTGGTGAATGCCTGAGCCCCAGGGAAAGAGCCACACCCATGTTTTCTTTGTGTGTCTGTGTATTGCCCACAGGCCACAATTCTTAATAGATCTTCTTGAAACTTGGCATATATATTCCTCATAACCCTAGGACGGCAACTGTTGATTTTGGTGCATGTCCCGCCACTCCCAATTTTTGTGTTTATTGTATACAGGCCACAATTCTGAATGGATCAGCTTGGAACTTGGCATATGTATTCCTTATAGCCTAAGGGTGGCAACTATTGATTTTGGTGCATGCCACGACCCCTAGGGGCAGAGTCACGCCCAATTTATGTGTTTATGGTTCCGCCTCCCCCACCTTTGGGTGGTGCCACACCCACTTTTTGTTAATATTTTGTCTGTAAATGATATATAGGCTTCAGTTATTAACATATTTGGATCCAATTCGGAATGACCCATCATAGGGTTGTACTGAAATTCAGAATGAATCATCTTGGAACTTAGCATATTTATAAATATATGCCCACAGTTATGTGTGGACGTATATTGTCATCGCTCCTAACCGCCCGGACGTCCATCTGTCCACCCACGTTTGTTTGTGGACCCTCTACAGGCCACAATTTTTTATCAGATTTTGACGAAACTTGAAATATTGGGTTATTTCACATATCGACTGAGGGTATTAGGGTAATATTTGTCTTAAACACCGACATCAATGTTAAATCTATCCTAATTGATTTCACCTATAAGACAATGGTTTAGCCCTTGCATTACATTTTACAAACCGGCATTCATTTTGTGCAATGTTGTCAAACGATTCGGACTGATCAGTTTGTAGAAAATATGGATGAAAAAGAAAACGTAGATTCTGACAAAGAATTATTTAAAGCTAGAAAAAGTGCAGATTTATGTAGAAAATATTTAACAAGAATTTAATGTACTTGGATATTTTGGATTGTGAGGAAGATACAAATGATACACGCTTTTCAATTTCGAGTGACAAGACGTCATTGAATGTGCCAACAATGCCTGCGC